TTTTTTTAAAGCATGCTAGAAGGATAGTAAAGGTAAAACTTCTATTTCAACAACCTGTAGTGAAATGATTTGGTATGGCTTCTAGCCATACTAATTTGTCATTCCCACTGGATGAGTGGGTAGGAGCATGCAAATAAGGTGTGGGGGACTCTAACCGAGGGAACAGCCAGTTTTGTCATTCTACTGGGCATAAAGTGAACCATCTCCTAAACAAGAACAGGGGATCTCCTGTCCATCAAGAAAAAAGAGCAGAGCATCTCTTGTGGACCTTAAGATCCCTGTGTGAACAGGCAGCGGTGGCCGAGGCAACAGCAGAAGCAAGCAGCACCGAGAGCCGCCCACCTATGGAATAAAGCTGAGTGTCTTGGGGCAGTGGGCTGGCGTGCAGTGAGGTGCCCTTTGGACATGTGTCTTTCCGAAAGGAGCTTTGTCACACTTGCCCAAGCACGACTGAGGCTAAGGGCCAAGTGGCTGAGGGGCCAAGGACCGCATCACTGATGTGGCCATGATGGCTGAGGAGCTGAAAAAGGAGCAAGACACAAGCGCACGCCCGGAGCGCATGAAGAAGACCCTGGAGCAGACGGCGTGGCGCGGGAGCTTCAGGCCCAGCTGGAGGATGCGGAACAAGCTGCCCTCCGGGGCAGGAAGAAGCAGGTGCAGAAGCTGGAGGCCAAGGTGCGGGTGCTGGAGGCTGAGCTGGACGCCGAGCAGAAGAAGCACTCGGAGGCCCTCAAGGGGGTGCGGAAGCACGAGCGAGTTCGCCTACCAGGCCTTGGAGGACAGGAAGAACGTGGCCCGCATGCAGGACCGGGTGGACAAGCTGCAGAGCAAGGTCAAGAGCTACAAGCGCCAGTTTGAGGAGGCGGAGCAGCAGGCCAACACGAACCTGGCCAAGTATCGCAAGGCCCAGCAAGAGCTGGATGACGTAGAGGAGCGAGCAGACATGGCAGAGACACAGGCCCATAAACTGCGGGCGCAGACCCGGGATGCCCTGGGCCCCAAGCACAAGGAGTGACGCGGAGCCCCAGCCCCCAAGCGCCAAAGGGCAGCTGTGTTGGCTTTGCTCCCTGGAGCCCGGTGGACCCTGAAGAAAGGCCACACCTGCAGCTCGTGGGCACCCTCGTTTAGGACTGGGGTCCCCTGGACAAAAGTCAGGTCCACAACTGCCACTTAAAGTTCTTTTAATAGTCAAAAAAAAAAAAAAGAGAGAGAGAAGAGCCTGCCTGGATGGAAGAAGTGCTATATCCTAACCATTTCTGATCCTAACTTGTAACCTGCTAGCTTCCCAAACAAACCCCATCATCATGGGTCTAAGTTCTGTGTGCCACTGTGATGACTTACTAAATGCAGCAGAGAAGCGGGTGCTTTGGAAGGGCCGGAGTACAGAAGGCTGTAGCGTGGAGGCGTGTGACCGTCTCATAGGAACTGATGTTAGGCTGATCAGCGTGATTCTTCCTCTTGTACAGAGGTTAGATGTCACTGCTTCTACACCAGTCTTGCATAACCCAATGACTTCTATGAAATACTGACAGAAATATATTTAAAGTCAGTATTTCTGCCTCATGAAATTCTTATAATGCC